AGATAGATAGATAGATAGATAGATAGATAGATAGATAGATAGATAGACAGACAGATAGATGGACTCTCTTCCAGAGTGTCTCTGGTCCTAAGGCTCCATAGTCTCTTATTTCCTGTTAGCATGTAGCATCAATGGATGCTAGCTGTATAATCTGTGTTCCAGCTGGATGCTAAAGCCTTAATGCTAAAGCCTGTGCTAGCATGTAGCATCAGGCTGAGCTCAGAGTGGAACTGGAGCTGGATGTTAGAGCCTCTTTCCAGAAACCAGGGCGTTGGGAATGCCTGTGGACAAGTTATTCTGGCAAAAATGTTACAAATCAACTCTCCCACAGACTTCACATGCACGCCCAGTTAATGTTTTTGGAGCCTGGCCAGAGTTTAGTCACTTTCTGTAGTTCCCCAACAGCCATAACCAGTTGCCGATGCTCTGGGCTTTTGAAAACTCCCTGAAGTTGCACAATTGTTTCTGTTCAGGGAAATCCACAGCACCACGGGGAAGATCAAGCGAGCGGTTCTTCAGTTTACACCAGCTAGTTGGACCTACGTTCGCTGGTTCGACCCCAAATCATCCTCCCAGAGACTAGCAGGCATCTACCTCTTCATGATACTATGGCAGGTAGTGCATGCTTTGCTCATTGTGTTGTGAGACTGTTGCTATAGCAGAGTCACACATCTAAAAAAACAGCTTCTCCACATTGAAAAGTCCAGTTCAGGCTGGAGGTGAAGTTCTCTAGAAGACGTTTGGCCTCTGATCCAGAAGCTTCTCCAGCTCTAACTGATGGTGGAGCTCTGAGGTTCATAAACTGTAGGTGGAACTAAAGAATTAGGGGAAACCAAAGGTGGCTCTGGGCCCTCCTGCTGGGGGTCATGTAGGTCACCTGGGAGGGTTAATGGTGGTTATTTTTGGTTGTTTTGTTGCTTTTTCCACTTTATTTTTCATTGTTTTGTTGGTTCTTCCTCTTGTTTTTCCTTTTCTTTGCTGCTCCTTCCACTAATTATTGGTTGTTTTCTCTTATTTCCACTTTTTTTCATTGTTTTGCTGTTTCTTCCACTAATTTTGGGTTGTTTTGCGGCTTCTTTGACTTATTTTTGATTGTTTTGCTGCTTTCTTCCTCTTATTTTTCATTGTTTTTCTGCTTCTTCCACTTATTTCTGATCGTTTAGCTTCTAACCACCATTAACCTCCATGGCCCCCAGTAGGAGGGACCAGAGCCACCTTTGCTTTCCCCCTTATTCTTTAGTTCCACCTACAGTATATTAACTCAGAGCTCCACCATCAGTTAGAGCTGAAGAAGCTTCTGGAATCAGAGGCCAAACGTCTTCTAGAAAACTTCACCTCCAGCCTGAACTGGACTTTCATAGCTTGACCAGGACCTGAATGACTGAGGATCTTCACAGATATCTTCTCCAAATTACAAAAAAAAAGGAAAGATAAACGGGTAAATTCTGTCTTGTTTTTTATAGTTTTTTTTGTCTCCCATTTGCAGTTGACAGAGTTGAACACATTCTTCCTCAAGCACATCTTCATCTTCCAGGCCTCTCACCCTCTCAGCTGGTGTCGTATTCTCCTGGTCGGAGTCGTGACCGCGCCCACTGTTCGGTACGTTCACACCAGAGCTCACAATCACCTCCATCCAGATACAGGGAAATGATTAAGTGTCACCCATCTGTGCCCTTTTCCTTTTAATAAGGATAAAATCTTGGCTTTGCTTATGAAAAACTTCAACTTTTGTCCTCTGATGTGTTCATGCTCAGTTGGGTATTTAAAGAAGCCCTCATCTTTGCAGTGTGCCCCCTTTAGATAATGCAAAAACTCTATGGTCCCACTGAGTTTTGTTTTGTTTTGGGGTTTTTTTTCTTCTCAAAAGCAACTAGACATTAATTATTTTGTACATTCAGCAAAAATCTTCCACCAGCTTATCCCAGGTTTGGCCTGATATTTGCTCCAAACTGATCTTTCATTAGGAAAATCCCCAACTTTTGTTTGAGTCGTTCTTAGTCAGTCAGTTTTATAAAAAGGGACGGTGGCTCAGAGCTGGTGGCTCCAGGTGCTCTGCAGCTTTTATCCTATGAGGGTTTCCCTCAATCTGAACAGAGATCTTCTCAAACCGTTTTCAGGCAGTACTACGCATACCTGACAGACACGCAGTGTAAGCGAGTGGGAACACAGTGTTGGGTGTTCGGGTGAGTACGTTCAGCCTCTATAGTCAGAACCCTCATTTTCTCTGCCATCTTCTTATGTTATGTTTATATTTATGCATTTAGACGCTTTTATCCAAAGCAACTTACAAAGTAGACACAATGTTACAGTTATCATCAATATTATATTTATATTTGTTTATATAAGGGATGTCCCAATCCAGCTTTTTGCATTTCCGATCCGATCCCGGCTTATTAGAGCATGTATTAAAGTTTAAAGTTATTTATCTACTTACTTAGTTGTCAGACTCATATTGAACAGGGATTTACTCTGATAACAACTTAATGGTTAGGACACAGACCTGTGGGTTAGCAGATGCTATCTATAGATATACTGTACATATATCGTAATTGAAATATTTTCCTTCTGGGATTATTAAAGTTTTTCTGATTCTAATTCTGAATATGACAATAAGTTCTCTAAAGGAAAATCCCCAGTCAGAGTCAGTTGTGACAGAGAGAGAGAGAGGGAAGCACAGAAAGAGGAGTAGAGGGGTACAGATGTGTGGGTAAGAGTTAGGACAGAAGATGCTCTTTGATCCTCTTTAACTAAGTCTGGTGTTCGTACTAACATTGATGGAAGGGGAAATCAACTCGTCCCAGAAACATCTTCACAGTCAAACCGATTCTGGGCCCAACACACTCCGTTGGCTCTGATTGGTTAATTCTGTAGGAGGGTCATTTTTATTCGGTTCATGACACGATGCAGATACTGACCTCACACACGAAGCTGCAGGGGTCCCCGGCCTGTACCGTTTCCATAGCAACGGGACTGACTCCATAATGCTGAGGCTGCTCTTAGTTTCCCGGTGGAGTCTCACAGGTGTCTGCTGGTCTGTAACTAACAGTGGAAATGTTTCCCCAAAAGAAGGGCTCAGCATTTGTTTAATTTGAGAGTAACTCACAATTAATTTGTCTGGCTGATTTTTATTTATTTCGTGTTTCTCTTAAGAGCCATTGCGTTCCTGGAGGCTCTTGCTTGTGTGAAGTTTGGTCAGGAGTTGTTTTCGAAGACCCAAATCCGCTCTGTGCTCCTGTGGCTTCTCTGTCTGGTAAGAAAAGATTTATGTGTGCCCGTATGTGCACAATAAACCTGGAAAGGGTTTAAATCTGGATAAAAGATCTATCTCCAGCTAAATAGGCTGAAAAATAATTCTTGTGATTGTCATAATAATAATATTTGTGCAACTGATTATTTGCAGATTATCCAACTCTTTTTATAGAAACAGATTCGGTTATAATATATGTGGTTGTTTTTTTTTTTTAAAGAGAAAAAGAGCTAAGCCAGGTATGATTTTTTCTTCTTTTTTTTATTTTTATCATGACACATTTTCTACTTTTCCTTCTTTCCTTACTCAGGCACTCATCACACTTCTGTGTTTGTACGGGATGGTGTGGTATGAGCAGAATAAGATGAAGGTGAGATCCTGCTCCGGCTCTAGAATAGTAGTTATACATTTATTATACATGAAGTAAATATTTAATGATGTAATGACATTACGTTTGTGAATGTGCACATCTTGAATTGCAGACATTTAGATTTTTATTGGAGGAAAAATACATGTTTTTGATTGAAATCATCAAAGAACCAATAAAGCATAAAGTGAGTCACTATGCAAAATATTGATCTCCATACAATTATAAATTGTCTTTGTTTCACTGTAAGTGGAAATGTTTTAAACCTGGATTTTACATCTTTTTTTTTTTCTTTTTTTTTATTCAATAATACCCACTTTAGGGTAGTTTAATAAAACAAAAACATTTTAACCCAGTGTTTCAGTTGCCAATAAAACAGGGGGTCTGTTTTCATGGTTGCCTATTGATTATTATTGGCTAATTTTTACAAAACGTAAAATCATTAAAGAACCAGCTAAAAAAAGCTGTGACCAGAGACTAAATTGATCTTTCTGCCTGTAATATTCAGGCCACACACAGACTTTACAGATGTGATGAGCTCATTTTTTAGCACAGATGCTGTAATTACTGAGCATTTTTCTTACAATTACTCCTTTCAGTGGTCTCTTATTTTGAACATTTTTTCTTGTAAAGAGTGACTTTGGACCTGTGGTGTCTCCAAATGTTTAGAAATTTTGAGACGGAAACAGCTCTTTGTAGTTTGATGTTAGTTGTTTGTCAGAAATGGCTCTTTTTCAGCCTGATTCTCCTTTTGTTGACAGAGCTTTACTCAGCAAAACGAGGACGCCAATGACTCATTTGCCTCCATCCCAGATGGCCTTGCAGGTTTGTCCCTTAACATCCAGACGGACGACCGTTCGATATTTAGCTCCATCCCAGATATTAAACACAACCTTTTCTCTCTGCTTCCCAGCTCAGACCGACTCCACAAGAGGTTTACAGCCAACCAAACGCAGGAGGTCGTCGGCAAAAAACAGACCTGGAAGCAGCCATGGAGGAAAGAGACAATAAAAAAACAGTGATGGGAAGAATTCATAGCTGCTGTGCAGACAAAGAGAAAAGCAAAAATACAGGAGTGTTAACTTACCAGCAGCTTAATAGTCGTATCGGTGGTTTCAGAAATCCCAGAATTATCTGTATAATCAAGTATATGCACTGGATTCTGAATGAAAAGTCTTATTCTGACCTGTGAAATTACATTCTGTGCAGCCTTCTTTGTCTGTTTAACAGCAGTATGAAAGTCTGTTTTTCTTTTTTTTACTCCGTTAGGACAGAAAATGTGTCCGTTAAACACACAAACACCAACACTGGCACAGACACTACGGCCTTTTGCACACAACCCGTTTGACTGTTTAAAAATGACTGTGTACCAAAATTAATGGCTTTACAATATTACATAAAATCAATTTTTTCACTTTGTCATTTTGTCACTTGTTTGGATTAATGATTATGTGTTTTTAAAAAAGTTCATCTTGTTTGTTAGAACATTTTTCCTTCAGTCACAATAGCAATGGGCATTTAGTTTTTGCTAATTTCAAATGACAAAAATAAGTTTTTCCGACCAGCTGTGCACTTTAGTCTGAAACTTTTTATTGAACCTGTTGAAAAATGTGTACTTCTTTATATTGGTAATAAGCGAGTTTTCAGGTTGATCATGTGATTAATGTAAGATTCAAGACTCGCTTTGATTTTTCTTTTTTTAACTGTCCAAAGTTAATAAGCTGTGTTGTTAAAAGTTGATATGGGACTGATTTCTTAGCTCTTATTGTTAAGTGGTCTATATGATGTGTTTACATCTTAAATTATTTCTGAATTATGCTGTGACCTGCCTCTTTAACTCTGTTGAAAGTTTAAACTTTAGCACAGATCAACGCATATTTAATATAAAATGCTAAAATGTGTTATTCATAAACTTTCGATGTAATAATGTAATTATAATTATTTACAATGGGTGATTTATATATTTATTTCCTATTTTTTTGTATGAGATTTGTTGCTATTGGAGTAAAACAACATTTTTGTCTAAAATAATGAAGATATTCTGTGTGTTTTTTGTCCGTGAATTAGCATTATAGGTTTATTAGGATTATAAAAACTAGAGTACTGTCTTTCCACACGAGGAAAGACTTAATCAAAGGGTTATTTCTTCCCCTCATACCATCAGGACAAGATCTTGCTATTGTTTTCCCTATTTCACTATCATAACATTTCTTATGTGTTCTTATTCCTGCAGACATTATGTCACATCATATTTTTAAAAAGACTGATTACTCTTCAGCATGATACCATGCAGTCAGTGCTTCGTATTGTTTTTAATGTTCACCATTTTGTGCATAATAATATGTTTTTCAGTCCACAGTGGCACACTGAGCCTCTGGCATTGATGCCAAGTTTGAACGCATTGATCAACACTTGTCATTCTGCAAATAAGCACAACGACACAGTTTTTTAAAATTATGAAACCAAGATTGGCCAAGACTTTAAACGCAATGTATGAGAGAAAAATGCATCTTAAACACATTCAATTACATATTAGTAAATCAAATAAATGTTTTATTGTTTCAGTTTACCCTTTGAAAAAAGAAATGAATAATAATCAGCTATTTAAAAAAATCATATATACATATCCTTCATACTTGTGACACAGTTTGTATAATAACGTTTCTGTTCAAAGGTTTTTAGATCAATTTTAATTTGAATCGTTTATCTACTATAACAGAAATTGATTTAGACTAATTAAAATTAAACAAATATGTCATGGACAAATGTCTTTATTTCATATTCTATTTTTATGGTTTTCGTGATGGAACAAATTATGTAACATTTATGTGTCATGAAATACTAAACATCTCCCGTTTTGAGGCAAAACCCGTAAAACCTCGCTTCTTTGTTAGCTTCGGCAACTACATTTCCCAGAATGCTTTGCTGAGCGGCCGCCGTGCTGGATGACAGCTATCCGGCGCCGAGACACCGACAGACCCTCAGACGAAAGAGCCATGGCGGCCACGGGTGGAGGGAAAATTAGAAGCAGGAGATATCATATCGCTTCTAAACCTTACGCCAAGAGTAAACAGGTAAATCGAGTGAAAGTTTTCAGATTTAAACCCCAAAGCGAGTACGCTACAGGGACTGTAGTGCCACAATTTCCCAGATCTTGTTATTGTTTTGTTAGAGACATTTTATGGCCTACCGTTAGCGCTCGTGGCCTCCACGCGCTGCTAGCATGTTCAGGAAATGCTAATGAATTAGCGGGTCTGTTTGTAGGTTAGCAAAATCAGGCGCACCTGACAGGTCAAAGCCTAGCAATGTGTCGTTTAGACACGTTAGCCATTATTTATTTGCCAGTTCACGTACAGAAAGTGTTGATACTAAACACCGGCTCAGCTCGTTAGTTGGTAACAGTTAGCAAAGTTAGCTAAAACCAAGGAAGTGCAATTCCAAGTATTAGCTGGCTAATTTGAGCTATCAACTAGCATCTGCGAGCATCGCATTGTTGTCTTAGGTTTCTTCAACTTAGCAGGTTAAAGGGAAACGATCGTATAATGTATTATTATACACGTATAAATCTCCGTGCGACCCTCTTTTTAGTGGCTAAAGGCCCGCGGTGAATCAATTTAGGTGTTAGCTTGTATTGGGCAGTTTAATTGCGCAGGGAGCCTGGTCTGATTGGGGACCCACATGGTTGTCTGTCGATTCATTTACCGCCTGGACATCTGAGAAGTCCGCTTTAAAACACCTTAAAATGTCAGCTAAGTCCAGAAATATTTGGACAAGCGGCAGATCCGCTGACCTGTTTTCTCATTACGAACGCACTTCCATTAAATACCAAGTTTGACGATTAGTATTTGGCATCTTACCTTTGACTGGAGTGGCAAACAGATTAGCAAGCCTACTTGAAAATAAATCTTTGCCAACTCTCTAAACTGTCAATATAAATATCGGCACAATGATATCTACACAATTATATGGCATCAGCATCTTTTAAAATGATGGCAATCATACTTTATTTCAGTTGTGCAAAGTGATCGATTTTTCCAGGTTTTT